GCACTTTTTATAGCAGTCTCCCGACAGTAGAGTAACATCAGACACCAGCATTAACCCCTTCTAAGGGCAGCACCTGGCGGCCTAGATACCTGCCATACTGGGGACTCAGTCTTTCCCACAACACTCTTACAGGAATAAAACAAATCTAACCCTTAGCACCTGGGAGAAGAAGAGCTCAACAGGCATTGGCTGGGGGCTGCCTTTGAGGGCCACAGCGGGTTCTGCTTCTGGGGCTGCAGAGATGTCAGAATGTTGGTCTATTAGAGCCTGGTGGGAGAAGATAGACAGCAGATCCTCAGAGTTTGTATAGACAGGGCTTCCTGATGAAAGCATTCAAGGGAGAGGGGTCACAAGGGTTCAAGAACAGGGGTGGAGCCACGCCAGGAGGGGAAGAGCTGGACCACGAGGCTGTTTACCATCTGTGGATTCTTGTTCATTCTGACCCACAGGGAAAACCAGTCACCCCTCTGGGTAAATGACACTTGAAGTGATCACAAAAGTAAAAAAATAAAATAACAATTTGAATTGCTGAAAGATTGCTCAAGGGACAAATTACAGGAGGACTTACAGGACCGTTTTTTGTTTTTGTTTTTTTTTTTCAAAGATGCTTTGATACAAACCACACTAAATTATCCTTAGAACTATTGATTCTGAGAAAGTCCAACTCAGCCAAGAGTTCTGAGAAGAGGTAGGGGGTGTTGTGATAATTTTAATCATCAAGTATCAGTCATACAGGTTTTCTTTATGTCTGATGCATTGCAGACATTGCTGGGGTGCTGGGCCCGCTTCTGGTCCATGTAGACTTTAGCCTTGGAGGGAGTGCCCTGCCCCCTCCCTTCTAGGAGCTGACTCCCTCAGGAACTCAGAGTGGGCTCTGTGTTACCCTGAGGTGGAATAGGAGAGACCAGTCTTGGTACCAAGATCATTTGATTCTTTGATGCATTTTCCTTAGAAATGATGATTGATAGCTCCTGTGACCCTGGAACACTCTGTCCTGGGAGTGAGGACTCTCATGGGAGGCCTGGGAGGCCCTCAGAACCTCTGTCTGGGTCGGCTGTTTGTTGATACCTATATTTAATAGTTTCAGAGGGGCTTGTGCCTCAGGCAGTTCCATCCCTGGTGGGACCTCCAGCCAACATGTGTGTCTTATAATTCTCCATCTTGGCTTACATGGGCTTTTCAGTGTTTCTGGGAGATTTCTTGAAGGACAACTAACTTAGTTGAAAAGAAAGTCTCCTTTATTTTAAAGGAAGGAGACTGAAGTCTTCGTAGCTTCTGTCTCCTTTATTCTTAACTATTGATGAGTTCTTAACGATGGAAAGAAATGCATCAAAGGAGAAACTGGTGTGCAGTTCTCAACAAAGCCTCTTCCTTCTTGCTGGGACAGCTGGACTCCTCTCCTGGAGTGGGGTGCAGCTGGGAGGGGGCAGAACTGAGACAACAGCCTGGGGGCAGAGTTGAGACAACAGCCTGGAGGGCTGGGGGTGGAGCTACAGTTAGTGAGAAGCCAGACGCTTGTAGAGGGTGCACACACACTCAGCACCAGGAAGGTATCACTATTGAGGCATCAACTTTATCCTCCTTTCAGGCAGCCAACACACACCAAGGATGGGAAACACCAAGATGGGAAACAGCAGCCATGTTCTTTCTCCTGCCTCTCACAATGTGTGTCTCCTGTCACATTGAATGTGCACCATAGGGGCTATTCTCCCAAAGCCAGTGGAAGTAAGGGCCATGGTCCTATTATAATCAAGTATGTTGGACTCACTGTGGCATGTCTTTTTGAGGATTCTACCTAGAAATGACCTATACTTCTCTCTCTCTCTCTCTCTCTCTCTCTCTCTCTCTCTCTCTCTCTCACACACACACACACACACACACACACACACACACACACACACACACATATGTATATTCAGATGGTTTCATTGCATGAGATTTCTCCACTATTTATAGTTTCCATTAGCACTGTTTTATTAAAGAATTGTCCGTTGTTGGGCATATAGACTGTGAAGTGTTCCAGAGTGAATGAATGTATCTGAATTTGACTGGTATTCCTGTGATGTCAAGGCATGTATCTGGATTTGACTCATATTCCTAAGTTCTTATGCTAGCACACCATTCATGATATCTAAGGACCTGGAACAGCACCACCAGGCTTGAGCACTTTTGTGTCATAGGTAGATGTTAGCTGTAAAATTAATGCTTATTCTGCTGTAGTTGTAGTCTCTGAGTCTTACTGCCTCTGTCTGCTAACCTAGGCCTAGTCCTGGAAGCTTCTAGCTTCTGTACAATATCTAATCTAGGCCTAGAATATTGTCAGCCTCTGAGACTTGCTGCTGAATAAACTCACCTCTTCTAGTTCTTTCTGAACTCTGGCTGGCTGGTTCAACTGAGCTGGTTTGGCTCAAACAGGTTTCCACAATGACTGGTTCAATCTGGCTTCCGTCTCTCAGCATCTTCTGAATTGCTCTGTTTGGCCTCATACTAACTTTGGCAATCTGTTCTAATCTTCTGGATCCTTCTCATTCTCTGGCTCATGCTGTCTTCACCTGTGTCTAGCTTGTTCTCTCTCTTCAATCTGTCTCTGTACAGCTGTCCCAGTAAAACTGCCTCCTCTCTCTCTGTACTGCCCCTTAAGTAGCTTCCTTTTCCTCTCTCTTCCTGTGAGAGTTGAGCATATCCTTTTCTGTCAATCTCTCTCTGATTCATCATCACTTTGCCACTCAATTAGACATCACTTTCAACCATGGGTGGTTCCTTCTACAAACTAACTTTACCTTCATTGTTGGGATTAAAGGTGTGTGCTAAGGGCTGAGCCACACCACAACCAGAAGCAAGGTTGTTGGTTTTTTTTTTCAGTAAATAACACAATCTTGGGTTTCACAGTGTGATCAAATATCCTGAAACAATTAATCGCAGTCTTTGTAGCAGCCTGTCCATTTAATCTGAATGTAGAACCTTAATTCCTATGCAAAATTCTTTTAATCGGCTTTCTAAGTCTTTCACACTTAGCTGGGAGAACATTATCTTCATACTGCGATTTTAATTCTAAGCCATTGCTTTCTTAGTTTCTCCTTTATTCTTGGATCCTCTACTCTCTGGTTTTCTTGACCTTGTTCATTATTTTTAAGAATTGGTGGCCTTCTGTAGCCCAAGGTGCTGCTCATGGAGCCCTGGGATGAATGGCCAGCCAATAGCTGCTCATGGAGCCCTGCCCTGGGATGAATGGCCAGCCAATGGCTGCTCATGGAGCCCTGGGATGAATGGCCAGCCAATGGCTGCTCATGGAGCCCTTCCCTGGGATGAATGGCCAGCCAATGGCTGCTCATGGAGCCCTGGGATGAATGGCCAGCCAATGGCTGCTCATGGAGCTGGGATGAATGGCCAGCCAATGGCTGCTCATGGAGCCCTGCCCTGGGATGAATGGCCAGCCAATGGCTGCTCATGGAGCCCTGCCCTGGGATGAATGGTCAGCCAATGGCTGCTCATGGAGCCCTGGGATGAGTGGCCAGCCAATGGCCAATATGTGAATGAGTTCACAGCTCACACAATTCAGGTTTCAGATGATGCTCTACAGGGTAGGCTTGCTTGGGGCCTTGCAGGAAGGGCTGGATTTAGAGGAAGGCAGAAGAACATGTACTTTCAGGAAGAGAAGGGGGAGAAGATGATAGCTCAGGCTACCCTGGTCAAGGTTAGTTGTGAGGAGAGTCCAGAGGGACAAGTGAAATACAGCCTAGACTAGCTGGTGCCGCAGCTTAGACCTTACAGTGTAGTGGTTCTGTGCAAGAAAGTGACATAGAGGTGACACCTGCTCCTGTGTGGGATACACTGGGAAGTCACCTGTTTGTGTGTGGGATGTGCTGAGGTGGTACCTGCTCCTGTGTGAGATGTACTGTGACAAAGAAATACTACAGAACCAGGGGGCTTCAAGATCCACTTATTTGTTCATTGAACCATACTTGTCACAACCCTGTTGACCAGTGGGGACCTGGGAGACACCATCACCTCTTTCCTATTGGGGTGGACCCACATAAACAAATCGGGTATGGTGGCAGATGCTTGTACTCCCTGAGGTAGGGAAGCAGAGACAGGTGAGTCCCCAGGGCTCTCCTGATAGCCAGCCTAGCCCAACCAGACCTATGAGAGACACTGCCTCAATAAACAAACAAAAACAAGCAAACAAACAAAAAACCCAAGGTAGATGGCACCCAAAGATGGCTGAGATTGTCCTCTGGTGTCCAAACATGGACACACATGGGTATGCATACCCCCATATGCAAATATACCTATACACACATGAGCATGCACACTCCCATGCACACACAAGAATGAATGAATAAATGTAAGTAAATAAATAAGCAAATGAATAAATCTCCTTCAGAGTCTGGCTGTCAGGGGCTTGAGTCTGGTTTCCAAACAAATTCTGAGTGGCCTGTTAAATTCCAGCGCCCTTAAAGAAATATCCCTCTGTCCTTCTCTGCAAGCCCAGTCTTCCTGGTGATAACCTCTGCCAAGCTTGTTACCATTTTCTACCATGTTGTGAATTGTCTGAAAATTCAGCTGGAAAACCCAGGTTCCCTCGGACAAATCCGTCTGGGGAGCCTCCATGCTAAAGTCAGGCTTTGAACAGACTGGGAAAGGCAGGGACCCTCGGGCCTATGTGCACACCGCTTATTCCTCAGTTATGACTTGAACTTGGCTCTTGAACTCTCTAAAGAGAGAAGTAGTATTTCCTTCCGGTTTCCCACTGAGGCACAGAAGCCTGGGATGAATGGCCAGCCAATGGCTGCTCATGGAGCCCTGGGATGAATGGCCAGCCAATGGCTTCTCATGGAGCCTTGGGATGAATGGCCAGCCAATGGCTGCTCATGGAGCTCTGGGATGAATGGCCAGCCAATGGCTGCTCATGGAGCCCTGATTGCTGTCCACACAATTCTGACTGTACACACAGCGTGCCCTGTAGCTGACTGACGCGTCTTCTCTCATTCTCTGACCAGGAATCTCACGTCATTTCTGCTGAAGTTGGAGAAAAGTGTGAAGCCATAGGCGTGAGGCTCCTGCACCTGGAAGATCAGCTTCACAAGGCCATGCACAGTCACGACGAAGCCCTCTTTCATATCCTTTCCGTCTTTCGAGAATTGCTTTGCAAAAGGAAGTCCAAAACACACAGCGCTTTCCCATGCCGCGGCAGGTGAAGGCGACTGGATGATGATGTTATCTGTAGTCTGGCACGTTTTGCATCTGTTAGCCACAGAGTCTGGACAGGCACAGAGGGAGACCAAGGCCAAGTGGAGGCTTTGGAGGGTGCGAGGATGGGTTTTTGTGGCATAGAAGAACCAGAAAGAAAGCAATTTTACTGGCTCACCTCCTTAAGGTCCTTTTCAATACCAAGAGTTCTAAAGCCTTCTTTGAAGTCTTTTGTCCTGCCTTCTGCAGGTCATAGAGTGGGGTGTATAAACTAGCCCTTCCTTCGTGGGTGCCTTCTTTCTGATATCTAACACATACACATGGTTAGGCTTCACAGAGTCCTCCTTGGTTCTGGTAATCATATTTCCTTGTACTAAACTCAGTATTCTATGCCACACAACAGACACCTACATCAAAGCAACACATGGGCTAACTTGTGTGTACAACAAGAAGCATGCATCCCCGGCGACGTGTCCATGACCTTTGTCACTGGGGAGCTCTTTGGAAGAGTGTGGGTAGATTCTGTCCTAGTTTTATTTCTAGGGGCTGTGATAAAACACCCTAACCAAAAACAGCTTAGGGGAGGGAGTCCAGGATGCAGTATGCAGTCGCTCCAGGAAGCCGGAGAAGGAGGTAGTGTGTGTGTAGATCACTTGAACTTGAACTCTTCCAGGGGTCATGGTGTCTATGAAATAGGACAGTGATTATTACCAGGTAATAACACAGAGCAAAGACTGTGGTAGTGGTGGGGTTTGTCCCAGGTCTGCCGGTATGGGGAGGGCTTGGTGCAGCCGAATGGGGCGTGGCTCATGTTCTAGGTCATGGTGGGAGGGTGTGGCACCTGATGATGCCATCTCTGGTGCTGGGAATTTATGATGTAGCTTCTTACATGTTTGGTGGCTCAAGAAGTAGAGATCTCAGGCCAGAAGTAGGTGGTATTAGACCAGGCATAGGACCCTTGAGACCTGTCTTAGTTAGGGTTTTACTGCTGTGAACAAACACCATGACCAAAGCAATTCTTATAAGGATGCATTTAATTTGGGCTGGCTTACAGGTTCAGAGGTTCAGTCCATTGTCATCAAGGCGGGAACATGGCAGCATCCAGGCAGCCATGGTGCAGGAAGAGCTGAGAGTTCTACATCTTCATCTGCTGGCCTCTAAGAGAAGACTGACTTCCAGACAGCCCATGCCCACAGAGACAAACCTACTCCAAGGCCACACCTCCTAATAGTGCCACTCCCTGGGCCAAGCATATACAAACCATCACAGGACCCATCTTTAATGACCCGTTTACACCAGTCAGGAGCTGCCTCTTAAAGGTTTCACAACCCCACAAAACAGCACTACCACGGAGAACAAATGTTCAAGCCCTTGAGTCCATCCAGGACATTCCATACCATGCCACTAGGAGCAGAAAATACTGGATTGGGTAGTGAGTCAGCCTCTCCTTGGATAACATCTACACCACAACACACATTTATCCCGACTTTCCTCCGAAATCCGGACCATGTTCCGTGTCACTGAGCGAGAAGAGTATACAGAGTGTGTCTTTAATCTGAAGTAGCACTTGGATTCCAGTATGACAATGGGCCCAAGACAGGAAGCCATGTTCACAATGCTCCGTGGGGTTCCGTAACAAACAAAAGCTGTTGTTTCACATTAGAATTTATCAAGGCATCCAAAGAGGCTGCAGGAATCCCCTAGCCAAGCTCTGGCTGGTGTGTGTTTTCGTTTGTGATCAAAGGCACAGTGCTGAGTGCAGCTGAAAGGAAAAGCTCGCAACTAATAACACAGAAGAGGAGCGCGCGGTGAGGGTGGCGTCTTAGGCGCCCAGCCAGAACCCACTGCGCATGTGTAGCAGATGATTCGGTTTTTAATCCAAGTCCACAGTGGAATGTGCTGACGTAAACCAACCGGGGACACCTTTCTGGAGGACTTGAGTCTCAGATGCTGTGGCTTCCCATTCTTCCCAGTGTAGGGCCTTATCGTATGCCACACACCTGCAGGAGCAAAGCAGGCGATGTACCAGCGTGCCATACACAGAAGGGGCGGGCTGGGGGACAGGCAATATGGCAGGGGCTTCTAAACCTTCTGAACAGTTCCTGCACAGTCTGTCGGTGTCAGAGCTACAGCAGCCTGCTGGGTGGGAGAGGAAGGCTGGGCTGACAGATCTGAGGACTGAGGAGAACAGGCTGCTGCTCTGTCCTTCTGGCAGGCTTCCTGAGTTACAGGCATTGTGAACAATTCAAACCATCAACCGAGGTGACCGCTCTCGGTTAACTGGGAGAGCAGGCGGTGGGGAGGAGAGAGGTGCCTCTGGGGAGAGGATTGGGATGTGACTTCACACTAGGCACGCTGGGGATCCATTAGCAGTGGTCTGAACCTGAGGTATGATTTCACAGATTCTGGATTCTAATTAGCAGCTCCGTTCCAAAATCCCTCTGAGTCTGTGTAACTGTTCCTCCCCGTTCAGAAGGCTTCCACTGGAAAGCTTTTAGGCTTGGCGAATTGTTAAGCAGGGTTTTGTCCCCCTCCTTTCTTTCTCCTTTGACTTCCATAGCTCACTATAGGAGGAGAGGAAGCACATGGTATTGTGGCATCTTTCAAAGCCCCAGGCAGTTCTGCCAGCCTCTGCTGAGTCATGGATGAGCAGGGACCAGGCTGATTCTATTTACGTGGTATTTGCATCCCTGTCCAGAAGCCTCTTGGGAGCCTATTCTCTCTGCTCATTGGAAATGCACGGTGCCCAGTTGATTCGTCTTGCTAGTCTTGATGGCACGCAGAAACTAAATGTATCCAGGCTCATGAATAAACGCCACAGCCCCAAAGGGCTCCTGTCTGGTTCCACTTTCCAGTGTGTAGCCTGAAGAAGCCAAGGTAACAGAGCCGAGGGGTGATTGCCCTGTCTCCTTGGAAATGCTCTTTTGCGTCTATAACCAAAGTGCAGGAAGGACATCTGTGAAGATCTTCAGTAGGAGAGTGCAGAGCCAGGCAGGCTGCTCTCTGAGGCACTGTCATGCTCAGCTGATGGAGGGCGGCAGCCATGTGGTTCCTTCCCCCTTCTGTTGAAGTCTGGGTACAAAAAGTTGGAGCAGACAATGTGCACAGAGCAGGATGGCACTGCTGCCCATGGGATACAGTGTGAACTCAGCATCAGGTTGGTGACACAGTCTATCTGTGCACAGAGGTCCCTTTGTCACCAGTGGAAAGGGACTGGGTCAGGTGTCTCCAGGCCCTTTGTATCTTACTCAAAGCATCAAAGTTAATAGATACAGGTTTGCAGAAGTACCAAGAGTGCTTTCTTCACAGAAAGGCGATAGCACAGGCTGGAAAATGTGTGTTCAAGAATGACAGCAGACATCATGAGTGTGGGTCCACAAGGGGCCTGGTGGTCATCTCAGGGTTCTTTCTATAGGGATCAAGAGGGGGGTATTTGGTTACTAAGGATGTAGCTTGTGTTCTCTATTTTAACCGTCATGGTTTAAGTTATATATCCATCTCTGTCGTCTCTCCTCACAATGCATCTGATGTCAATCATACGCATGCCAGATTACGCATAGGCCTACAATGGAAAATAGGGGATTCTCCCTGAAAGTGCACTTTGAGGACACAGTTTGCTTTATTGTACCTGCAACTAAAACCATCTAGGCCCTCCTAGTGGGATAGTTGTTAAGGAAATGAGAAACTGATTTTATTGTTCAGAGAGGACAGCGCCTGCAGCTCCAGGCAGGTGGGGGTTCTAGGTTGGTAATAGATTGTTGTGTGCATTATGTGCGTAGCACTTGCAGATGAGAATCCTAGAACATTGCTAGAAGAAAGCTGTATGCACAGCCCAAGCCAAGCGGAGTCCCAGGTTGCTAAATGATTCCCTACGCTTGCCTACTTCCTGGATATGGATAGGGTTTTTCTCCTGACTGGTCAGTTTTCTGCTGTAGTCCACATTGGCTACAAAGGATCATGTATTGCCTTTAATCCCAAGCTACCTGGGAGAGTGAGGCAGGAGGTTTTCAGGTTCAAGGCTAGCCTTAGCAGCTTTCTGAGATTCTGTCTCAACATAAAATATAAAAAGAGAGTTGAGACTCCTGATTCTCAGAGGCGGGGGTGGGAGGGGCCATGTGGAGGAGAGACGGGGGGGGTGCTTTAATCGGGATATAAAGGAAATAAATAAAGCAATTGATGGGAAAATACAACAGAAGAAGAGCTGGGGTTGTAACTCAGTGGTCAAATGCTTGCTTAGACTGCAAAGCCATGGGTTCAATTCCCAGTATCCCCTTCCCCCAAAAACATAGCAGTGTAAAGTAGATCAGTTCAGGTGACTTGAAGGCCTACTGTGTGCACATTTATATCTTTGTGTATATGTGCACATTTTGGTCAGAGGTTGGTATCAGATGTTTTCTTCAATTGCTCTCAACTTTTTTAGGACAAAGCCTTTCACTGATCCTGGGAACTGCTACTTCAGCTAGCCTGGCTGGTTAACCAGTCTCAGGAATCACCCCATCTCTACCTCCTCAGCACTGCAGTGACATATGCCACGCTGCCTGGCTTTTTTTAGGTCGTGGAACTGAGGTCTCCATGCTTGCACATCCAGTGTTTACCAACTGAGATATCTTCCCGGCCCTGAAGACCCTTTGTACTTTTCCTAAACTGTCAAAATGGCCGCTAGGAACCCCCGTCGAAGGTGAAGCATTCCATTCCTAACATACAATCCATAAAAAAATTCCTGGCCTTTGCCAACGGCTGCCTTCCCAGATAGTGTGGCCTGACCACTGCATCCCAGCGGTCTGAAGACTCACGTCTAGTCAACAAAATAGACATTTCAACAAATCAGCTGCTTGCCTTGTGAGTGCTCTAACCTGAGGTGACGCATATGGCCTTGGGTTCCAGAAGTAGTCGGAAGATGCCTGGGTGTCTGTCTTCTTGACGTGTGGTCATTAATAGAATGCTTTGCTTAGACACCCCAGATGCGTGGCAGTGCTCTGGGGACTCTGAACCCAGCTGTTTAGATTTTGTGAGACTCACATGCCAGCTTGGGGACTTGTTCTTGCATGGATGTAGTCAGTTCTAGAGCTGGGGTTGGATTTCTTCCACACTTGGATATAAACCATGGTCATGTGTGTCAATGGACCTGACCTGGAGCTTGCTGTATTCCTGATGCTGAAATCCAATGGCAGCCTTGCTCCCGTCCACAGCAACCTAAAGATCCTTTGAGGCTGAGGCTGGAGCTTAGTTGGCAACGTACTTGCCCAGAATGCACAAGCTCCTGAGTTTGATTCCTGACACTCAGAAGGCTGCATAGATGGTTTGCACCTCTGATCCTAGAACACAGAGGCGGAAGCAGGAGGGTCAGAAGCTCAGGGGCAGCCTCAGCTTCATGGTGAGTTTGAAGCAAGGAATGGTTGAGATCCTGTGTCAAAAAAAGAAAGAAGGAAGAGGAGGAGGAGAAGGAGAAGAAGAAAGGAAAGGGAGGGGAGAGGAGAAAAAAGACAGGACAAAGAAAGGGGGAGGGGAAGGAGATGATCCTGGTTAGATTATAAAGATGGTTTGATTTTTTTTTTCTGCACAGCAGTGAAACAATGTTACAGAAATATTTTTTTCAAATGCATGGTTTAGTGTGGCCCCAAGTCCACGTCTCTAGCCTCGTCCTCTGAACAGCAACATCAGTGAGACAATGTTACAGGTGCGTGGTTTTGTGTGGGCCGTAAGCGCACAGCCCTAGCCTCGACCTCTAAACAGCAGCTCGGCCCATTTCCCATTACGTTTCTCTTGTGGTGCATTGTAGCTTCTCCTTTACTGAGTCCAGAGTTGAATCCTCACGCCCAGCTTAGCGGTACAACCCTGCAAGGCCGACCGACCTGAGCTACATGGCAAGAGACAGTCTCCGAACAAAACAGCCGTTGAGTCCTGTACTCCTTCCCTTCCCCCACACACCATCCCGGAGGCGTCTCTCAGCATGAGGCAGCCTGCTTTCTGGATTCTTTGCTCAGATTGGTTATCAGGGAGATATTCTCAGCACCTTTCCCCATTAGAGTCGTCTGTCTTTCCACGGCCCTGGGCTCCTCATTAGTCCCTTTGTCCCTAAGTGATCCTCTGTGGGACAGCAACAGTACTTGGCTGAAGTGCTGCCATCTCTCTGGAACTCTCAGCATGGCCAACATGCCGTCCATATGACTTTGTGTTGGCTCTCTTGTCCCTGTCAGGTGTTTAGACACCACCAAGAGCCAATTCTTGGCTGCCGGAGGCGAAGGGGGACACCCGACACCCAGTAGAGGCAAAGCAACAGTCAATCTTTTAAATGAGAGAAGAAAAGAGCGAATTCCTGTCTGCACACTCCTTTCTCCGAAGCATAGAGTCAGACACGGTTGTGAGGTTTTCTCTGACATGCAGATGGATTTAAGCATGATGTGCATGCACAGGCATCTGAAAGGCATGGGAGACTTAAGTGTCTACCTTCCAGGGCCACTGTCTGGAAGATACCACATGTGTCCTCCTGAAATAGTTTTCTAGCCATAAATGGCTCTTATCTCTGGAGTATTTCTTCCAAAACTATTTCATAGAACTGCTCTGTAACTGCCTGCCCCCAGTTCCATGTTTTATTCTGGACTCTTAATTTCAGCACACATCAACCATTTTACACACACATACACACACACACACACACAGAGAGAGAGAGAGAGGGAGGGAGGGAGAGAGAGAGAGAGAGAGCATGAACTTTTGTAAATATGAGCATGATGTTTTATTAAAAGATTTGGTTTTTGTTTTTAAGTGTGTGTGTGTGTGTGTGTGTGTGTCTGGGTATGTGCACATGACTCCAGGTACCTGTAGAGGTCAGAAAGGGTGTCACATCCCTGAATCTGGAGTTGCATGTGACTCCAGGATGTGTGTGCTGGGAACTAAACTGGAGAGTCTCCTGCAAGATCTCTCTGAAAATTCTCTCTTGAATTGCAAATTTCTGCAAATGCTCTCAGCTTCTGGGCCATCTCTCAAGCCCCTATGAATGTGATTTTAATTGTGTTAGTGATTCTTATGCCAAAGGCTTTATAAATGATGTTTTCAGGCATCGTGCTGGGAAATAAGCCATAAGCCTCATGGTGCCTTACAAAAGGCGCTCTCTCTCTCTCTCTCTCTCTCTCTCTCTCTCTCACACACACACACACACACACACACACTTACATTCACACACAAATGCACACATACACACACACATACACACACACACACTTACCATTCACACACAAATGCACACACACACATACATGCAACCTTAGGCCCCTGCCTCTGTGACTAAGCTATGAGAGTCTGTATCTTACAGATGGGACAATTAAGTACACATGATGTAATTTTTCCAGCTTCCCAGGGGACTCACATTCTCGGATCCCATCTTACTGACTCTTCGGTACAATAATGGAAATTATTATGTGTGAAACTGATGTGTTAATTTAATTTTATAATTTAGTCTTTTCCTCTGGTGGTTTTTCTGTCTTTAGCCTTTTTTAGTTTGCTCTGTGGTCCCAGAAGTTTCTGAGTGACACCTTTTGGCTTCATGACACATTCCCTGTAAGACTCTGTCATCACTTGGCAGAGTCTAAAGTGCCGTGTGAGCCCAAACCAGTGTCAAAGGTAATCAGAGCCCAGGACATTGTCAGGACCACTGTGTATTCTGCTTGCCCCTTACAAGAGACCAGACCTGTGACAAACTGCAGCTTGGTGTTCAGTCTGGGACACAATTTTGGCTTGTCTGAAGTCACATGATTCCCTCTCTTCCCCCTAGAGATCATGAGATCTTTCCTGAGGTCTGGAGGAATGGAGAAAAAAAAAAACTTTCTACAGTAAAACACAAAGGCTCTCTCTTCACTGGAGCCCTTCCTCTCTTGCTCTACACATACTACCCTCGTTCCCCTCAGGTTCAGGCAAAGATGGCGGCCATCCTGGGAGTGCACGTACAGCATGCTGAAACTTCCAGAAGTATCTAACTTTCTAGGGTGAATTGGCATGTGTGTTTAGGAAAGGCTCATTTGCATAATTCCTAAGATCCCCAGGAGTTATTTATTCTAAAATTTTTATTAATTAGACCCCACAGGTGTGTGGCTCTCTTTGGACCCTGGTCGACATTGAACGTGTGGAGAACAGCGTTACAGTCCAGGTGGCCTGTGGCCTGCTTGGTCTCTGCTCTCTCCCCAAACCCAGCTTCCTCCATGTGTGACCCCATGGTGGCTTGACCTCACCTGAAGACTTTAGCATAGTCAGGCGCTATCAACTTGTTTCTCCTTTCCTATTGTCTCTCCCCGATGAGGCTGTGTTCTTTGGTGTCTCAACTCAACTCTTGGTGTTTTGACAGTGGCCCAAAAGGAAGAGGCAGAGGCTCTGGTTATGTGGGGACAGAAAGACTACTGTTGGTTAAATGTTTTGCTTGAATGTCTACAGAAGTGATTCCTAGGGAGCTCTTATCTGTCCTGTGTTATCACTTGCTGAGTTCTTGGTGGCTGTTTTCTTCCCAGAGGAAACCACTTTACAGATTAAGAAATGAATAGCCCATGTATGCAAGAAGAAACAAATCTACCAACCCAGATAGGGGAAGAGCCTTTTAATGGGAAAAGCCTTTTATTCTATACTGGACAAATGGCTACAGCTGGAACCCAGGGTGAGGTGGAATCCAAAGTTAGCCATTCAGAAGAAACAGAGTTTTAAAGAGCTTTGTACTTGGGACTGGAGTGACCCTCATGAGCAGGGACCACAGTCCCTGACACTGAGCCAGCTGGCTCATAATGTCAAGAGCATGCACACTTGATGTTGAGGGTCCCTCTTACGGTGGTTCCATATGCTAGGTTTTGTGAGGAGACTCTGATCTCAAGCACCTTTCCTTTCCAATCAGAGCATTTTGATGTGATAGTTGCCCACCCAGTGTGGGGACTGAGGAGCTCTGTGGCCACACTGTCACACCTCACTGAGAGTCAGAGAGATGGGTTAGACATCTATTTCGGCTTGGTGGCTGAGTCTTTCTTCAAAGTTTTAAAACCAAAATTTGAACGTTAATAATGTTGGAAATTTGCACCAATGCTTAATCTCTGGAGTTCGGAAGGGTGTGAAGCTGCGATTCAAATGTCAGTGTCCACCTGCTCTCCGGAGGCTGGCTTGCTCTCTCACAGGCCCAGTGGGGGCTGCGGGAAGCTGGAACCCCTCCTTATGCACTCCTTAACAATGTCTACAGTCTCTCCAGGGGGAGCTCCAGATGGTGAAGGAAACACTACAGGCCATGATCCTGCAGCTCCAGCCAACAAAGGAGGCAGAAGGAGAGGTCTCAGCTTCCTGTTCGACAGCTGGCACTCAGGAAGCTGAGGCCTGAGGTGTGAGTGTGGAGTGGGGGCTGGGCAGGGGTGTGCCACATGGCATCAGGGTGGAGTGGGGAGTTGGAGAAGGGGCAAACCTTATG